TAGACTGCACAGCTCCTGGGAGTAGCAGGTAGAGGCTGAGCCTGAGGGAATGGGACTTGTATCTAGGGTTGCCTTTCCTTTGCACAAGGCAGCAGTAATAAAACTTTTGTTTTCTGGAGACCACCCATCTTGCCTCATATACCTTTTTTAAAAATCTCCCCCAATAGACTTAGCAGTATGAAGACAGGGGCCATATCTGAGTCATCTCCATGTTCCTATTGTCTAACCCAAGGGAGAAAGCAGTAGTAGTAAATGTCTGTGGTAATGTTTTTAAAACCTATTATCAGATTTGATTCTTATAATATTTAAATATTTAGTGTTCCTCAAGTAATTGTTTATCATACCCATTTTACAGATGGAAGAACTTAGGAAATGGCAAAGCTGAGTCAGGAGTCCATGACTTCTTTACCTGAAATCATTGTTTCTCATCGTGGGAGGCAGTGGGTTTTGTTTGTTTGGTTTTGTTTGGTTTTGGGGGGCTTTTTTGGGTGGGTTGCCATTTCTCCAGTGCTCCGGAGTGGTCAGAATGCCTCAGGGACTACTTTCACCTCTGGCGACTCCTTGGCACTGCTGAGGCCAGGGAATCCTGCCGAGTATCTATCAGGCACATACTTGCTGTGGCACCCAGGCATAGACTTCGCAACATTAAAAGTCAGAGGTGAGAGCAGAAGGATGACAAAGTAATGCTTTGTCACTCTCCCTTGTGGTCTGGGGGGTGAAGCCTCCACTGAAGACAGGAATGGCTGGCTTGGAGGGGAAGCAGGAGCTGAGCCCGTCTTCCCAGTGCTGGAGACAGGCTGGTAGATGTCTTTGTTGGAAAGGAGACAGTTCACTGGCTGAGGACTAGCTATAAACACAGGGCCACAAAAGACTACCGTGGTGGCCAGCTGGTTTTGGATGAATCATTTTAACTTCCTTGGGTTTGCATACTTCCCTTTAGTGAGGATGCATGCTGTACCTCTCCCCATACCTTTCCACCTTTAGCCACTCTTTTTCAGTAGAAAAGAGTATGAAATCTAATGAGCAGTGGACTTCAGCAAGATGATGTGGGACAGATTGGGGAAAAGAAGTTATTATTGATAAGAGCATGAAATGGGCCTTGCTCAGCCACCAGCTGATTGTGGCATCCTTCTGAACTTCAGTTTCCTTACCTGTAAAATGGGGAGAGTAAACTTACACCTCACAGATTATTCTGAAATAAATAAGTGAAAAATTTTACAGGTTGTAATGCACGACTCAGTTCCAAAGAGTGTTCTGCAGAACACCAGCACTGCAGGCTTTTAATAAGGGTTAAGTGGAAAGAGGCTGTCAAACCAGGAACTGCCGAATGACACCGAGTTAAACAGATGGCTCTTTACTAAGAACTCTGCCTTTCTGAGGGGAAAAGTGTATGCAGGATTCCCCAAATGGACCTCTTTCAAATACACTTTTGGAAGCACAAGATTAGACAGTGAGGATAATAGCTGACATTTACTAAGGTACTGTGTGCCAGGCACTGTTCTAAGCCCCTTTACTCGTAGTGTCTCATTTAATCCTTACAGTATCCCTGAGAGGGTACTGTTATTATTTCCATTTACAGATAAAGAAACTTGGCACAGAGAGGGTAGGTAAGTTACCCAAGATTACATAGTAAATTCAGGACTGGGATCCAAACAAACACAGGTGGTCTGGCTCCAGAACTCAATTGTTTAACAGCCACACACTGGTGCCTCTACTAAACACTTGTTGGCTGATATTATCATCATCCCAAGAACAAGGTAATATCAGAAGCTTATTTATGAATTATGTATTTATTTGTTAGTTCAACAAATTATTTGTCAAGCACATGTTTATGACCAGACATCATACTGCTCATTGAGCTTTTTGCCTAGTGAAGGGCACAGTCAAGTAAACAGGTGATTGCAATAGAATATAATAAATACTGTAATTGGGAGATACCTAAGGTGCTAAGTAGCTCTTAAGAGCAGTAACTACCTCAGCCTTGGGAAGAATCACTAGAGGAAGTAATTTCTAATCAGAGGCCTAAAAATGAATTGAAGTTAGCCAACTGAAAGCATGGAAGAGGGGTGAAATGTTCCAGACAGTGGAATAGTATTTGCAAAAGCTGAGGCAAAAAAGAGCATTAGAAAGAGATGGTGAGAGATGAGACCTCAGAGATGAGCTGTCGCCCTCCTATCATTTCTTTTTTTTTTAAAATATATCTTTATTGATTTCAGAGAGAGGAAAGGAGAGGGAGAAAGAGAGACAGAAACATCAATGATGAGAAAGTCATTGATCGAGCCTGCAACCTGGGCATGTGCCCTGACCGGGAATCGAACCCCGATCGCCTGGTCGACACTCAACCGCTGAGCCACACCCGGCTGTGCTCCTATCATTTCTTAATAGCTGGACTATAATATCGACTGGTGACATTTGCCCCTGAACTGAATAGCCCTGCTGTATTTCTTGAGTTCATCTGCTTCTTATGTATGGCTCTGTAATTGCACTTGTGAAACATAATTTGTTCAGTGTTATGATTCTTGCATTAGACTCTCTTATGAGTTAGTATATCTCCAGCAGCTACCACCATGCATTGGTGCTCATTAAATGTTGTTTGTTGAATGAATGATGTGTTTTCTTGGTAAAATGGATTATACCCTTCCTGCTTTCTTGAGCCAACTATCACTATCCTCAGGTTCATCATTGTATCCAGCAGTTAATGTCCTGTGTGGCAATTCAGTGGTGCCCTTAGGGGCTTTTGAGGTGCAGTATTCTGTGAATTCCTTTTTAGCTTTTTATTGTGCTGTTCTTTTCCCTCCCTGCCTAGCCAGCACTTGATTGTAATCAGTCTGCTTGATTATGAAGCCTCCTCCCCAGCCTTCTTGTTTTCTTCTCCTAATCTGCAGTGGGCTGGAAACAAGATCACTTACCATGATTTGATAAGACTGTTTGCAACTAAGAATTGGTAATCTCTGAGTTAGATCCCTAAAGGCTCTCTTCTGGGAAAAATGCATATGGGACTTGTATGTTAGCTACTCAGAGGCCTTCTTCCTGTTCTCCCTACTTCAGGAAAGGTCAGATAACACTCCAGGTGTGGAGGAGAGGAGGTTATCAGTCTGAAGAGCCTCTGTCTGGTGCTGAATTGCTGATCCACCATTGATTCCACAAGAAAGTGTGGTTTGTTCTCAGCTACATACTCCAGCTTCATTTTGGCCAGACATTTGAAATGCTTCAACCTATGCTATCTTACCTAGGCGCTAGCTACAGACCTCAGGCCCTTCCCTATTAAGGCAAAGTATGGCTGCAGCTTCACCTGAGCAGGAAAAGAAGGGAGAATGAGAGCTAAGGCTGGGACCAGACATCTAGGATCTGAGCTCCTTTCTTTGAGATCTGATTTGCTCATTTGTAAAATGAGGGTGACAGCATGATATGATGGAGAGAAAGAGTAAGGACTCAGATTAGTCCTCAGTTCTCATCCTCACTCAACCACATGCATATTAACTGTGTGACCTCTGTGCTTCAGTTTACTCATCTATAAAATGAGGATAATACCCACTATATATATTATGAGAAATAAATAGGCACAGAGTAGAAAAAGGTCAGTAAATGAGATCTGTTGGTATTTAGGAGGAGGCATGACAGTCTTCTGGCTTTTTGAACTTTAAATAGGAAGTCTAGTTTTGCCAGGGGGGCGGGAGAGGAATGCTTGGATGCTATTCCAAGAATGGTTTAGGAATTGTCTGATGCTTTTGCCTACCTAGGCAAGGTTACCTCTCAACCAAATCACACCCCCTACCCAGTGGGGGGGGTGAAAGGAACCTGCCCCTTGCAGGCCCTGTGCTATGGGCTAGGGTAGAAGGGGGTTCAGGTAGATAGGATCCAAATTACACCCCCAATGAACTTAGTTCAGGAAGGAACATAACAGTTACTTTGATAATTGAGGCAAAAAGAAACCCCATCTCCTAAGTAGCATAGCTGTTATGTGGGGTCTTGGGTCCCAAGGAAGGACCTCAGAGATGGGATAGCCTTCCAATTTATTGTTCAGACTGGGACTGTCCAGGATAACAGGCATAAACCAGGTTCATCCGGATGTGTGTGGTCACCCAACCCATAGGGTCCTATAAAAGTGATAGAACTGGTTTTAAGATCTTTTATATGAAATTGGGGAGAGTCACAAATACTAGCACTAGAGTAAGCCTGGGGGTTTTTGGTTCTTTGATCACATGAAATGCCGTTTGTCTTACCTTTAAAAACACATTCACAGTGCATTTATTAAGGGTTAAAAAAAAGCAATATAGAAAATTCCAATTTTATGGGATATGTATGCATATATAGAGAAGGATATATACCAAAATAATAAGTGCAGTTTCTCAAGTTGCTGAGATATTGATCCCTTCTTTGTACAGAAGTTTCAAAATTTTAATGGCTTTTATAAATTAAAAAAGGTCTTCACAAAATAATATTAAACACTCACTTAGGTTGTAAACATCTTCAGAGCAGAGAGATGTGTTACTATTCTGCAGAGAACAGCCTGTGTCTCCCGCGCCCTGGTCCCCTATCTTACCCCAGCCTTCTTTCTTCACCTGGATGACTCCTCTTCACTCTCAAAGACTCTGGGCTTCTGAGATCCTCTCTTCATTCCCAAATTGAGCTAATTTCCCATCTGGCTTTCGATATCATCCTGTTATACTTCTAACATAGTATTTATCTCAAATAATACGGTAAACATGTGTTTGTTGTCTGTCTCCTTCAGATTAGGTCAGAGACCACATCTGATTCACTTCTGTGTTCCCAAATGAATCCTAGTATGTAATAGATGTCAGTAAATGTTTGTGGAACTTATTGGCCTGTTTTACCTTCTCTTGCCTGGCACAGATTGCTATGCACATAGTAGGTATCATTATATGTTTAGCAAGTAGGTAGATGAGTGAGTGAATTAAAATGCCAAGAAAAAGAAAGTGAGATTGGTGGCTCAGGGCATTTGTTGCTAATAGAAGGGTTTGTGTTACTGTCCTCCCCAGTCCTGGTCACTCGAGAGGATGACTTCAACAACCGGCTGAACAACCGCGCCAGCTTCAAGGGCTGCACAGCCCTGCACTATGCGGTCCTTGCTGACGACTACCGCACCGTCAAGGAGCTGCTTGATGGAGGTGAGAGCATGGGTGAATGGGATGGGGGGCTCCAGGAAGAGAGACTTGACAACCTCTCCACTCTGAAAACACACCCCCAGAGCTGGAACTGTTTTGAAGGTGGCTGTACTTAATGAGAGGGACAATGTGCACATGTGATTTGCCCTCGTGTGGTTGGAATGTGTTCTTTGCCTACCTGTGTGTTATGTACCAGGCCATCTTTTCTGTCTGCATATGCTCTGAGAGTTTTGTTTGTTGCTCTTCCCAAAAGTGTCCTCTCCTCTCCACTGTGACCTCTAGAGCAAGGCTAATAGAATGGCGGGGAGGGGGCTTCAAATCCCTATTAACCGAGGTCTCAAAGACATCCTCCTTGATCCCACCCCCATCCCAGTCAAAAGTCACACTTGTCACAATGTGAAATTGTTTTTATATGTTCAGTAGCCTCCTTCCTAACTTGACTCTGAGCTCTCTGAAGTCAAGAAACTCATTCCCAGCACCTAGCATAGTACCCAGCATAGAGCCAGTGCTCAATAACTGCTGGGACAGTAAGTAAAATCCCCACATTTGGGCTGGGCTGGTTCTGTCCAAGTCTAATGCAGAGTTATCCTTCACCCTGCCTGATACCTCCCAAGCAGTCACTTTTCCTCCTACTTTTATCCCACTCCAGTCTCTCTTCGTGATAGGGAGGGAGCATCTTGCCAATATGTGTGGTGTCCAGGCCCCTGAGTATGGCACATGACTGCCTACTTATGCCTTCAGTGCCATTTTTTGTGGGTCTAGAGACCCTCCTTTGGGGCTGGACACCTGCCCAGGTCCTACTTGTTGGGGATCATTCTTCATAGAGAATGATCTGAGAGCTGCAAGGGTCCTCAGAGGTCACCAGGGCTACCTGCCCTCCCCCTGGCACAAACCTCCAACAGCTGGCTGGCATTTCCTTGGAATTTATCAGAGACTGAGAGAATTCTACTAATTCCCAAGAGTCCATTTAATTTTAGGTGTTCTTTTAGTCCATTTCTTCTTTGCCTGCTTGAAATATTGAATACCCTCAATATTTTCTTCTCTGTAACTTCTGCCAGCTATCCTTTTCAGACCAATCACTTTTTCAAAATCCAGTCTTCAAAGACAGTTCTTTTCATCCCAGAGCCTTTACCTCCTTGGCCCAACTTCCCCAGATCATCATCTAGCCCTTTTCATGTGATTGGGTTGGAGGGATTTCCCAGTAACCCCCAAATCCAGCTACTCTGGCTTAAGACCCAGGCCTGGCCCACACCTCCAGCCTCCAAGGGCCCTGCCCCAGAATGTGCCTTGGTCTGGGGCACATACATTGTGGTAACATTGCCTAGGATGATTGATACTTTCGGAGCAGGAACTTACTGCTCTCAGAAGCAGAGACTTAGAAGACATCCCCAAGCAGGATGCTACTCACTTTATCCTTTGGAAAGCTCTCTGGTGAGACATTTGTAGCTAAGAATTGGAGCATTCACCATGGGGCTTCTCTCTGCTGTTTCTTAAATTCAATCAATACCCCAGCCATTGTCTAGTGGTTTACATTCCCTGCGTCCCCTCAGCCCCCAAACAGGGATTCACTCTAAAAAGAGACCCTCTCTCCAGCCTTCCATATCGAACACCTTTGAAATGAAGAGGCACAGGCCTTTTATGAAGTGCCTCCCCTTCCCCCCAGGCCAAGGCTGGCCCTTTGAATCACTTCAGGGCATGGTTCCTGCCTGTTGACTTGGAACAGATGCCCATAGCCCCCACTTTTACAGTTTGCCCACCTGCCTTTTTACCCAGCATCCATTTAAACCCCCTGCCCTAGCCTCCCAGCCTCAAGGGCCAAAACCATTAACCTACTTATTTCTCCCTTCCTGATCTGAACAAGTGGCCGTCACTCATGCCCTGCAGGCCTGCCAACTTCTGACCTCCCTCCCCCCTTGACCTCTCTTGGTCAGCTTGTGTGTGTGACCAGCCAACCGAGAGGCAGTATCCTACCCCCTTGTCCTGGGGCCTGTTGCTGGTAACATTTCCAAAGTCTTCTGACCTCAGTTGACCTTCTCTGAGGGTTTTAGGGAAGGCCGGAGGGCTTGCCCTCCTGACCATCCAGCTTTCTTAGCCTATATTTGTCACTGGCATTGCTGCAGCAAATGAGAGGGAGGTGCTTTCTGTGAGATCAAGGGGTCAGCCTGTGTTCATGAAATCTACGCGGAACCCTTGTCCTTGAAATTGCTTAGTCCACAGGGATTTTGAGGGTTAGAGCTGGAGGGGCAGCTGTTTTTGCCCAATTCTGACTAGCAGTCCCCATGAGAGAGCTGGGAGGAGGTCCAGGCAGCAGTATCAGTGTGATAATGTGGGAGGTTCTCTGACCCCTTAGGAGGCAGTGTAGAGTAATAGGATGTCTTTAGAGTCAGGCCAACCTGGGTTTGAATCCCAGCTCCCCTTCCTACTACCGGTATCGCCTTGGGCATGTTACCTTAACTCTCTAAGCCCCAGTTTTCTTGTCTGTAAAGTAACACCTGAGGATTATGATAGAGATGAGGGTTAGTGATAACATCTGTAAAAGCCCCTGCTCCGTGCTTCTTGATTGTATAAAGAAGTCAAACTCTCATCCTAACAGTTATGATCCCGTTTCTTTTTTATGAAACCTGTCATCCTACCTAAAGGCTTCTTAATTCTGTTTCTACCCACAACTCACCCCACCCCCACCTAAAACACCATCATGTTCCCTCTCTTCTCATCTAGATCCTCTGACTCCTTAAGGTCTCCCTCTCTCAGGAAGCCTCTTCTGGTGGTCTGGTCCACTCTGAAAGCATTGCCTCTGAACTCTTACAGTGTTTGACTAGGCTCTTAACACTTCATCTTTAGGAGGCCCCTAATATAGTGAAATGAACACAGCTTGGGAGTTGAACACCTCTGGGTTTCAGTCTCAGCTCTATAATGTGGCTCTGGGTAAGCCAGTTTTCATCTCTGAGACCATGGACCTCAGGGCATCCTAAGATGGATCAAGCAAACTGTCCCTGACTGTGAGAGACTCTGAGACTGGCGAAGGAGAGATACAGAAACAGGCAGAGACTGCTGGATAGGTGCTCTGGCAGGGGGTGGACAAAGGATCTGGTGACATGGAGGAGGAAATATCTGCTTCTGCCTGCTGAGCAAGGAGGTAGAGTCAGTTACAGAAAGTTTCCCAGAGGAAGAGATGCTTAGTTTTATCAGTAAATGTAATGGGAGTTTGCCAGACGATTTTTATGGAAGGGTTCTGAATTCACTAGTGCCAGTTTTCTACCCCTGACCTCCATAGAAAAGTAGGTGCACAGGTCCCTGTGTTTTTCATCTCTGAGCATGCTGCTTCTGCCTGTGCTGTCATAGAGCAGGAAGGCTCTGCTTTAGCACTTGACTGCCAGGTACAAGAAAATGTTGGAGGGAGGGAGAGTCAGGATGACTGGGAAGTGGGGAGCCTCCTTCCTCAAGCCCCTGGAACTGACTCATCCTAGTAGTTCCAGGGCTGTTAAGGTGCATGGGATCCCACTGCCAGATCCATCTTCCTAAAACATATCCCTAATCATGACAGCTTTCTGACCACCGTTCCCCCAAAGAATTGAACACTAATGCTGTAAGGTATCCATTGTGCACAAGAAGTTAACTTTTCTCCCAGCATCTGAGATGGTACAACTTATGTACCATTCTTGGGAGAATTGAGAAAATCATTGCTCAAATAATTTCCCATATGTGGTTAAAAGGTGAAATCCCTGTTGAGAAAGACTATAAGGAAATAGCGTGAACTGTGGAGTCACGGTCTGAATACCAGCCCTACCACTTCATAGTTATGTGGCCCTGGGCAAGCTAGGACCACTCTGAAGTTCTCTTCATCTGGAAAAGGAGTAATACTATCTACCTCCTAAGGTTTTGTCAGGATTAGAACATGTATAGGTTCTACAGAGAAGACACTTTATATATAGTATCTGTTATTAATTTCAAAAATACTCAGTGCTCACTTGTTAAAATAAAAAAGAATCCTGCCCATCCTAACTTTTAACCTGGTTTTAGAGTTGTTCTACTTTGACCCTCACCATTTTTCCCTACTGCTGCCCTAATACTCCTGCCACACTGTAATGTCAATTCAGTGTTCCCACCTCAGTGCCTTTACTCTCTCAGGTCTTTCTGCCTCTCATTTCACTTTAAGACTGTTTCTCAACCTGCTGAAATTCTTTCTGCCAGTCAGTCCCCAGCTCTAATGCCACCCTCCTTCTGAAGTCTTCCCTGTTCTGTGGGATTTGGGTCTAGTCCCCCCTACTAGACTGAGGTAGATTGAGGGCCAGGACCCTCTTTTTGTCCATACCTCCTTTGCCACATACCTTGTGCATAGTTTAGTACGTGTTTGGATACACTGATACATCTTTGTAGCCACTGGAGATTTGGATATCATTGGAGATGTGGTATCTTTGCTTCCCGGCCCACTTGCTCTTAGTGTCAGTATAACCTGCTTTTTAAGAGCTTCACCTCTTTGCTGCTTTCTTCTCTTTATAGTCACAGTGACTCTGCCTTTTCAGCCACCAGTGCTCATCACCTCAGAAACACTTGAGATTTATGAGACCTAATAGCACTTCCCCCAGGGCTTACCTTATCCTCTTTCCTGCCTACTTTCATGGCTATTCCTTGCCCCCCTTCCTTGCACATGGCTCAATTGTCAGTGTTAACCAGCCACCATCAAATGAGTCCTTGAATTCCCCACCATCCCCGCCTGAGGCAAAGAGCCTTTCCAGTGCTGACATCTTCCTTTAACAGCCTGTTAGTTTGTTGTCAGGGCTCAAACTTAAGAGTTCCATTTCTTGTTCCACTTCACTGTCTGTCCATCTGGCTGCACTGCCAGATGTTGAGGGAATCGGCTTTGCCTCCAGCTGTCCTCTGTGGACACTTCACCCTCTGATTCTTGCCAGCAGTGCAGAGAAGGGGAATGAGCACTGGGCTAAAAATCAGAAATCCTGACTCTGCCAACAAATCCTTTTTCCTTTAGGCAAATCCTTTCTCTT